ACAACAGCTCTGTATAACAGATGCCATTATCCCCCCCGATTAACAGGGGACCCCTAACTTCACACAGATGACAGGAAAAGTGCTCCTGAGTCTAGGCCCTGAAGCAGTCAGCTCCACTGCCTCTCAAACAGTACCAAGTCCAGGTCCCTGTCACAGCACAGGACTCTTCACTGCACTTAGATTTCTCTCTTTAGAGTGATGCCATTTCACATGTGGAGATGGCCTTTTCTCTTCTGCATCCCCAGTGCCTAGCATAGAACCTGACGCATAGTGATGCCAAAAAATGTTCAGAGAAATGCACGAGGGAAACTCAGTCTCTTCTCATCAAGGTAGAGTTAGGAGACATGAGTTTTTCATTGATTTTGGGACTAATGGGCGATGCCTATCTTGCATGGGTCTCTTCACTGCTTTAACTGCCCCTGGGCCTCAGTTTCCCCACCAGCAACATGATGGGGTTGGCCTCTATGATGTGTGAGCTATATCTCATATCTATAATGCCTCTTTTCAGGCCCAGATCATCCTTTATCTCCAATTAGGAGGCTGCAGCCTCCTAATTGGACTCCCTGCCTCAGGCCTCATCCTTTCCATATTGAAGCTCCAATGACTTTTGTGTTTTTATGGTCACAAGAATCTTCTCCCAGGCTGTCATCTATTAGCTTTGTCCTTTATTGAACAGACCCCTCTCATTTTTATGAAGCCTAATCAATCATTTTTCTACTCTAATGTTTGCGCATTTTTAGGTTTTAGGAAATGCTTCTCTGAGATCATAAAGATATTCTGTAATTTTCTTCTATTAACTTTAAAGTATTATCTTTCAAATTTAGATTTTTACTTATTTTGTATATAGTGTGAATTTAATTGTGTTGTTTTCCACCGATTGAGCCAATTTCTCTCAATACCAATTTCCAAAACACCTAGCCACCCTCCACTGATATGTGATGCTACCTCTATTATATACCAGGTTCGTAATGTACACATGGTATGTGACAGAAGCCTGTAGTTATCCATGGAAATCCATCCTATCCACCCTGTCCTTCTCCTGTAGTTACAGAGTCCATGATGTTTAGTTTTTCCATACATGACCGTCTGGGACTACAACCCCCAGCTCCACGTGCAGCTGCACTTGGCAGGGGGCTAAGTTCTGTCTAGTGGCATGGAAGTGGAAGTGGTGTAGGCAGCTGCTGGGAGGTGTCCTTAGAGTGGAAGGGCTTTTCCTCCCTTTTGCAGGCTAGAAAGTAGATGTGAAGGCTGGAGCTGAAGCAGTCACTTTGGGCCAGTGACCCTGGGGATGAAGTCCTGAGTAGAGCAACCCTGCAGAGGTCTAAATCAGCCCTAGATCACCTACCTCCAGCCTTTCAGGGAAGTGAGAAACAAACTTTTAACTTGTTTGCAGTTCCACTATTTTGACTTTTCTGACACTCCTGGCCAGCCCTAGCCCTAACTACTACTCACAGGTCAGTTTCTGGACTCCCTGTTCTATCCCATGGAATCTCTTTATCTGTTTCTGTGGCAGCCCACAGTTTTAGGTATTATGGCTCGTCTAAGATAGCTTACCATTTGGCAAGTGCCTTTTTGTTGTTGTTGTTCTTACTTTAAAGACTGCCTTAGCTATTTACAAATCTTTATTCTCTCATACATTTTAGAATTAGTTTGTCAATTCCCTGCCCCGCAAACAAACCATGCAGTGGCTTTGAAAGGCATTCACTGCAGCTACAGATTAGGCAGGAGCAATCTGATATTGCGACCAGTTTTACTCATCCCATCCCAGAACACAGTCAGAGGGAGCTATCTAAAATTCTGATCTGATGTGTCACTCGCATGCTTTAAACCTTCCAGAGGCTTGACATTTGCCTCTGGATGGAGTTGAAAAGTCCTAATCTTCTTACCTGGAGCCCCAGCTGCTCAAGCCCCCAGCTCAGGCTTCTGTTATTCCCTTCATTTCACCCTCTGCTCAAACCACACTGAACCCTCTCTCCAATTACTCTTCTTTCAGGCTTCAGTGCTTTGGCACATGCTGTGCCCTCTGCCAAGAATGTTCTCCCTACTTGATACACAGGGCTAATCCTACAGACCCTTTGAGACTCAGTTCGGAGGTTCTCTCCAAAGAGACACCTTGCTGAACCGAGACGCTGAGTCATGTGCTCCTCTTCCACGTCCTCATGGTGTCCCCAGCTTCCCTCGGTGACAGCACTGTCCATGGCACAGCATGGAAGTCACCTGGGAAGTGCTGGTCTCTGCCCAGAGTGTAAACCCTTGAGGCCTTTCATTTCTGCATCCCCAGTGCCTGGCAGTGACAAGCACAGAGCAGGTACCCAAGGAATATTTGTGATTAGTCTTTCTGACCAACTGATCACACGTGAGCCTGTGTAACTGGAAGTGTGTGTTTTCTGTCCGGCAGGGCACAAAGCATATGGGACATGGGCCACACCCGTCGCCTGGCTCCTGGAAGTCCACTCACCACTTTGGATGTTGAGGGCGTGATGTTTGTCCAAGCTCCATCCTCCCAGCTTAGAAGCATCAATTTCATAGCCCTGCAGCACTGCTGTTCTTTTTTCCCACAGGATCAGATCTGGGCAAGATTCATACTCATAACCCACAGAAACTGTAGAAAACAAAAGGCAGAAAATGCACAGGTAAGCAAAGCCTCTTCCTTGGCCTTAGATCTGCAAGCAAGGCCCCCTCTTGTCTTCTGTAGAAAAGGAAGAAGGACCAGATTTTGAAGTGGGAACCAGATCTATGTGTAACACATACATAGAGAGGCCAAGCCTAACATCTTTTTTTTTTGAAGAGCTATCGTTTATTACCAGGAAATATTAAACAAATGCTCTGAATACTTTGAGAAGGACCTGGGAGAATCAATTCCAGGGAAATAATTTTAGTACAGAAAATACTTCGGGCACTAAAGTCTTCACTGTAGCATTAGTAGTAATAGTGGAAAATTGAAAGTAATCTAAAGGTCCAAAAGGGGTAAGAGGTTGAACAAACCCAATGTATCCACTCCAGGAATGCAGCCACTGGAAATTATGGTTATGAAGATCGTGGGGTGACATGGTAAGTGCTTGTGGGGTAATGCTGAGTTGAAAACACTGGTTATATACAGTATTATTCTTTGTTAAAAAATATACATGAAAAAAGAAAATAAATGTTAATGTTAATAAATAGTTATATTTATTTATAGGAATATGTATGACTTTATTTCTATTGTTTTGTTCATTTATCACATTTTTATTAATGAACATGGTATAACTTTAATAAAGGAAAAAAATCCATACATAGAAAAGGAGCTCAGTTAGGGTACTCTGAAATCTGGAAGTGGCTCTGTGGCCTCAAAACTTGAAAATCCCCAGTTTCACTTTTATTTCACAAATCTAGGCCTCCTGAGAGGGTCACTGAGATGCAGACTCACCATGGCAGGCACCCTGAGGCTGGGTTTGTGAAAAGCCCTATGACTGCTGTATGGAGGGGAACTGGCAGAGACGGGAAAGCCATTTCTTCCAAGTATCTTTCTGTGCAGACCATTTCCACGGGGTAATATTCTACCACATGCTCAAGATATGAATTAGCAATTGGCAGCCCCTTAAAGTTTCCTTTAGGTGCCATAAAAGATTGCTGGCCATCTATGGCAGGAGGGAATGAGGCTGGCAGATGTCCCTGTGACCTCTTCCCTGTGACCTTGAGTCCTTCAAGCAGCCACTATGCCTCCTACTGGTCCCTTGTCATTTCAGGAAAGTAAACCTCAGTCCCTGTAAAGACACTCCCCATTTTAACTGGCTCTGGGCACTAAATGTGCTCATTTCATCTGAAGAGGTTGTAAGGCTTCACTGTTTTTGAAGAGACCATAGAAATTTGGTTCACAGAAGGGACCGTGAACAGTGAGGGATGGCATTTTTGCTCCCAATGTGTCCTTGTCAGGAAGGAGGGGAATGCAAAATTACAGGGGAGATCAGGAGTAAATCCAGCTCAGTTCCTTCCCTGTGCATCCTTGGGAAATCACTTCACCGCTCTGGGCCTCAGCTTCCTCATGCAGAATTTGAGGACAATTTCTGACTCACAGGGTGGCTGTGAGGATTAAACGAGATACCAATATGCAGGGAGCACACTGCCCAGAGCAAGTGCTCAGTGGACGGACATTCTCTTATTGCCTGTCTGCCTGCCTCCCTCCCTTCCTTTCATCCCCCTCTCCCTTCCTCCCTCCCTTTCTTCTTACATTACTACTTCTCTGTTTTCTCATTCTGCCTTTGCTGAATCTAGAAATGGAATGAAACTGGAGTAAGGTTCAAGATGAGAAGGGATTTCCTGGGCTGTTACTCTAAGTGCTTGGAGGATAAGCTCTGCAGGGGTTAGGGCTGCTCACAGGCCAGCTCTGAACCCTTCCTGGGAGCCGGCTCTAATCCTGAAGCTGAGATGAGCGCAGTCAGGCCCTGGAAGCCCAAGGTCTGATGGGGCTGGGACTCCAGGTGAGGCTGTAGTCACCTTCTGCTTCACCTTGAAAAGAGACAGCAATCACATCAGCCAAGAGACTCTCTTATCGGCAAGGAGGTAAAGAGTCCAAAAAGGCTGTCTGATGAGGAAAGAATCTTAGCTCCTGCACCTCAATAAATCTCAAGAAACCCAGAAGCTCCAGACTCCCATCTTTTTATGTGTGAGTTCAGGCCTGATGGCCAGGGAGTGAGGCACGGGGGTGTGGCAGGGGCAGGGCCATGTCCACGTGGCTCTACGTCTGTGGCACCAGCCTCCTCCAGCCCATCACATACCACCAAGTGCTCTTCAAAGGCCTTTTTGGTGTTGCAACCCCTTTTCATAATGGTCAAGTTTTCCACATGGAGGTCTTTGCATACATTCTTTTAGGTCATGGATGGTTACTGAAAGGTCTTGAGGGCCAACTAGACCTTAGGTATTTCTGAGAAGAGAAAGGGAGGAAGAAGAAACAAAGGAAGTGGGAAAAAAGCCCCATCCCGCCCTTGCCTTATTGTCTCTGGGGATGGCGTTGAGTCCCGAGGCTGGGAGGCTTACCGAAGGCTTCTGAGAGCCCAAACACCTTCTGGTTGTAGACATCTGTCTTGTCCCAGATGAAATAATAGGACAGGTCTGGGGCTGCAGCAAACCACTTCCTGAAGAGGCGGCCCTCAACCGCCACCATGAGGTGGACCTTCATGAGGTTGAAGGGGATGGTGGGGTGGGTGAGGCTGATCCTCAGGACAGATTTGTAGCCAGGGGTGCGGCTGCTCAGGTAGCTCAGCCTCAACTTGCAGCCGGAGATGGCGATTTCCTCCTGCAAAGCCTAGAGAGACAGAGCACAGCAGGCGACGGGCATGGAGTCAATCCCTGGTAGAGGGAAGGAGGCCACAGCCCCACGTACGCAGGTACTCCACGTGTTCAAGAGGCAGAGCAGGAGGAGCAGGAACCAGGAGAGGAAGAAGAAAGAAGGGCGGGAGCCGAGTGTGAAGAGGAGCAAGAGGTGGAGGGAGAGAAGGAAGAGAAGGGAGGGAGGAACTGGGAGAAAAATAAGGCTCCAAAGGCCTGGATTCCGGGGCCAGCTCTCATGTGGTGCTTCCCTGCCTCCTTGAGCCTCGGGCTCCCCCTCCTTTCAGCAGGGATGACGATGCTCATCTCACTGCATTACTGACAGGAACCCGGTAAGACAATGTGTGTAAAATACTTGTCATAATGCCGCCGCCCCTCCTGCACTAGCTGGCATCCCAGAAAACTCGTGGAACCTCTGATCTCAGTTTCCTCACTGGACTAGTGTGTGACGGTAAAGTAAGGTCACTTATATGAAGTGCCCAGTGCATAACGGGTACACTGCAAATGTTGAGCAGCGGTGCTGCTGCTGGCGGCGGTGCAGGAAGCAGGGGGCACTGTGAAGCAGGGCCTTCCCCTCGGACTAGTGTGGGTGGCTGCCTCAGCAAGAAGGACTGCTTCTCCCTCACAACTTTCCTAAAGCACGATCTGTTTCAGGAAGGTAAACAGAGGCTACGAGACGTTGACCAAACCATGACGCAGGGTTTGGGAGCACAGGTGGCCGAGGACCTGCGGCTCACGTCGGGGCTCACCCACAGAAAGAGGACAGATCAGGAGTCTGCGGGCTCCAATGCTGGGCTCCGGGAGTGGAGTGCTGGGGGAGGCAGCACTTTGTCTCCTGGTGCAACAGACTCAGCTTCAAGACGGAAAGTTTAAATTAATGCCAAGATGCCCAGGCACACGGCAACAAAGTGGAGAACTTTCATCAGCTTGATGCTCTGGGCTCTGTTTCAAGAAGGGGACATTAAATCAATTGAGGCTAACGTAGCCATTAAAAGGACGACGATTATTCTACTCATGTTCACAGGGGAGCTGGGCCTTCACAAAGAAAGCCTTTTCCTCTCTGTCCATGTCATAGGTGGCTGTGAACTCTACTCCCGCCCCCCATTCTCCTGAACACACAAAATTTTAGGGATTGGGCCCATATCAAAGCCATTTTCACAAATTTCAGCTTATAAGTTCCAGGCAAAGCAGGGCTCGAGAGCCATCCTGACACTCTCACAGATACTCACTTTCCTTAACATACTCTTTAACATGCACGTAACCCTGTATTTGCAAAGGCTAGCTAATGACAGGAATCGGAAGACCCCAGTTTGTTTCCATGTATTTCATGAATATGGTCATAAGCAAGGTTTGTGACCCAGTTGAGCTTGTAGACACCCAGACCAGGGAGCACTGTAGAGAGAGGGGGACCTTTAGCCTCATTTGTTCCTAAGTCCCACTCCTGGGAAAGTGTGCTGGAGCTGAACCAGGGCCAAGTATCAAATTGCTCCTCTCTCCAGCAAGCTCTGTCTCCACTGACAACCGCCTCTGAAGAAAGGTCAGCCTGGCGGTTGAGACAGGAGACAAGCGCTGAATCTCTGAAAATGAGTGAGGTTTCAACCTGTGGGCTTTTGTGAGAATTCCAAAATGGTTGTTTCCTGCTTGTGGGCTGGCGTCTGAAGCCACTGGGCAGGGCAGAGAGGAGAGATGGGCTTGCTCAGCCAGGCGTGAACTGCACACAAACAGGACTGCCCGCCCCGCTCCACCAGCACCGGCCATCATGAACCTGCACGTCATCACCAGAGCTCTCGTGAGGCCAGTGGGACGACAGGGGCTTCTCCCCGAGCTTCTGCGCCGCCATCTCCCTTCCCCGCCAGGCTCCGTTTCTGCCATGAGAAATTGGGCCGGGAGGGCAGAAGAAATTCAACTCCACACAGCTTTGTTAGGCAAAGCATCTGTCTTGATTTCTATCAGATTAGAATGCATTTTTCCAAATTACTTCCTTTTAGTGATAATTAAGTAAAGCACTTGCGTGTCCAGATTTGAGCCAAGGCACTCCTTAATTGGCCTGAAGGCAGCGCGTGTAAAATAATGTTAATGATAATAATGGCTAAAGTTTATTGAGCACTGAGTAGGAGCCAGACATTGTGCCAAGCATCTCATATACATTTTCTCATTTAATCCTTAGTATGATGCTAACATTTGGGACCTTCTGTCTTACTCGTCTTGGTAGAAACTGTCAACAGCGCTATTTTTACCAGGAATAGGGAAAGTGGGGGAGCACTGGAGGCTGGGGAGAAGGGAAGTGGAAGGGACTTGGATGGCAGAGTGGAAAGGGAGTGGGAATGTATTACCTGCTGGAGTGTGCCAGGCAGTGTACAGTGCTCATGTGTTTTAAGTGTGTAACGGGGTGGCCATCATAGCCCTACACCACGCCTGTGGGGTTGGCAGCTGGATTCTGGGTGATGGGCTGATGGACTCTCTCCTTCCCCGGTCGCTGAGATCCTCCTCCACCCCGGCCAAACAAAATCAAAGCATGGAGAAACGCAGTTCAGAAAGCAGACTATACCTGGATTTCCGGGACGATGGGGCCTTTCTCTGCACAGGAGCTGGCGAAGGACGTGAGTGGGGATGGAGACACTACGGGGTTGGGGCGGGCAAAGTTGCTCAGGTCACAGCTGGGAATCTCATTCTCCTCGTGCCGCATGATGATGGTTTCCATGACAAAGAAGCGATCCCAAGGCAGCCAGAGGGTGTGCTCCTGTGTGATGAAGGGGGCCCGCTCAAACCGCAGGATGATGGAGATGCCGCCATTCGTGACCAAGTCAAAGCTGTTTGGGAGGGGAGGGTGAAAAGGAGAGGAGAGGGAGCGGCAGGAGGAGCAGGACACAGGAAATGAGGAGCAGCAGCACGAGGAGGAGAAAGAGAGGGGGGGCAAGGAGAAAAAAATTACACCAAAGGATCTGAGTACTTGTCGAGGGAGACTCTAAATCCTGCAAGACTTGACTGCAGCCACAAAGAGGGACACAGGTTCCAGAAAGCATTGTATTTTGAAAGTGATTCACCACAGAGAATTTGCCAAAGCCAAATTAGTAACCACTGCTATAGAGAGTCATTTGCCAGTTACAGGACAGCTGCTCAGCCTCTGCTATGGTGCTCCTGGTACTTAAGGCCTTTTAGAGCTGAAGCCCAGTGAAAGTTCAGCAGAATAAAGCAGAACAAACCTGCCCTGTGTTAGAACCCAAAGCCTAGTTCTGGCTCTGCCATGGGCTACTGTGTGATCCTGGGTAAGTCACTTAGCCTCTCTGACTCTTAATGTGCTCACCTGTAAAAGGCAAAGGTCTAAATGGGTTATTCTTAAGCATTAAGATTCTACAACTCTACAGCAATTTCTACACACAATTTCATCTGATTGTGACACTTAACACAGGCCCGTAGAGTTACAAATTAGTTAAGCAGTTTACTGACGGCACAATTAGGATCACTGTATCCTAGAAGTGAAAGGGGGACCAGAAGACTGAGTCTCAACCTCCTAGTTGAGATAAGCTCTCTGTGGCAGTATCCCTGAGAGCTGGTCACCCAGCCTTTGTTCATCGCCCTCTGGGGATGGCCAGAAACTTGCCGGCAGCTCTGTTTTGGTTCTGGCAAATTAACTCCCATCACATGCAGACAAACCTGACAGGGCACCTGCCCATCCAAACCCCCACAGAGCACCGGATCTAAGAGTTCTGCACCTACGTGATCAGAGGCCAGATGAGCTCACATTATAGACGACGGGAAAGGAGGCCAAGGTGTAGGCCCAGGTACATCACTAGTACTGCAGGCTAGGTCTGCTTTGCCAAGAAAATGTGTGGCTGCTACTTAACGCTCCACGTTCAATGTGCAAGAAGATTAATCAGACCAGAATTCAGTGTCCCTCCCCCACCCCACCAGAATGGAAAGTTTAAAATCAAGTAACAGCTGAACAACTGGAAGGGAACTCAATGGTCATCTGACCTGGCCCCCTCTCCAAACATGATGCTTAAGTCCCTTCTGCAGAATCACCCTGATGGGGCCATTTGGTTCCTGTTTGCACATTGCCAGTGACGAGGAGCTCGCTACGCCCCCAGGAGGACTGTCCTACCTTTGGTTAGTTCTGACTGTTAGGACTTTTTTCGGGGGAGGGTGGGTACTGAGCCCAGGTCCGTCTCCTTACAGCTCCTCAACCACTGGGCCTTGTTCCACCTGCTGGGGTGACTTCTAAGCAGTCTTCCTCTGCCTTTGACAGTCCTTCAGGACTTGGAAACAGTGATCCTCTCTACCTGCCACCTCCTGGCGGTGATGTCTCTTGGGACAAAGTCCTTTAGTTATTACTATTAAGATGCATTTTCAAGGCCTGTCTTCATCTTGCTTCTGTGGATGGAGGGCTCCTGCTAAGTCCTTACCCACTCAGAATTCCCGTTCCTCCCCTGGGTTCCCACTGCACCTCAAGCACTCCTCCTCATAGCCCACATCACACTGCCCTGGAATCACACGTGTACTCTCAGGCCCGGGGACGTGGATTCCTCTGTCTTTCAGAACCTAGCCCGGTGCCTGATGATTACAGTTTATAGGATGAATGCATGAGTGATGCTGTCAATTTCTTCTGAATTAGCTGTACATGAAACACCCTAAGTTCCTTCTGACTTTGGCCGATACCAAAGTCAACCTCACGTTTACCTGTGCAGTTGGTTTTAGAGACCCCATTGCAGGACCTCACCTTCATCCCTGATAAACACACCTTGTGGGGTTGGCCTCATTGTTCCAGCTTGCTCTCCCCTCCTCTAGAAGCTGCAAGGGTTGTGCACTGAACTGTCCTGTTCTAGTGCCACATCTCGCTCTTGGTAGATGGTGCCCTCAGATTTGGGTCCCCAAGCACCAAAGTCTGACTCTTCTGTCCTCTGTCCTTTTCCCTGCTCCTCACTCAGCCCCTTTGGGTAGAAGAAGTTGAGTACCATCATTCTTCAATACATAATGACAGAGAAACACCAGGGAAGGTGTCTGTCTTGAACTAAGAGTTGAAAGTTTGGCTTTTCAGGAGAATATCCAGGGTTTGGGGAAAGTACCCAGAGAACAAGTTTCCTGTCACAGCACTGAACAGCATCCGGACTTGGACAGAACATTTTTAAGCATCAAACAGAATTTTGGCCTGAGTTACAAGCTCTCTTCATGGAAGGATGAGTGTGGGGAGGGAGTGAAGGCAAACATGAAAAGCACATTCTCAAGGCTGTGAGCAAGCTGGGGGCGGCTGGCCTTGCCAAGAGCTGGGTGTGACTGGCTCTTGCCAAAAGCCTGGCTTGCTCATCTGGAGGGGCACGGGCGTGCATCTGACCTCAAAGGGAAGGCCTGCTTCTCATGTGAAGCCCAAACAGCGAGGGCCACTCCAAGCACTGTTGCTGATGCCAGAGGTGAGTCATGTCCCCTGTCCAGGCCTCCCTCTCCTCACATGAAAGGAAGCTGATGATCATCATCACTTGGCAGAGTTACTAACTAGGTGGATGAGGTCATGGATGGGAAAAGCCCTGGGCTTCGTGCTCTGCATAATCCCATCTTTCAATTCAACGAGCCTGAACTGAACTCTTGTCCGCTGCTCTTTTCAAATTTTTCCTCATGACTTCTATTTTCCATCTTTTTAATGATCTCTTCAGCTAACTTCTCTGCCACTGTTTTCTGTTTATGAGCTCTTGTTAAGACTTGAGGTCTGGGATTTCAGTGTGTGGGCTATGGGGTGGGGTGTGTGTGTGTGTGTGAATGTGTGTGAAGGGAGGTGGTTTGGACAAGGGCAAGTATCACGGTGCCCGCCTGCAAAGTGAGGAATACAAAGATGAATTAGACATGGTCCCTGGACTTGCACACATTGTTATCTCCAGGCTATATCTCTAGCCTCACAGTTTCTCCTGGGGTATGAGAGGCAAGAAAGAAGGTGAGTTAGGTAGGGATGAGGAGGAGGAAAATGGGCAAGATGCTGCCCATCCACACATAACAGACAGGGATCTTCAGACACTCAGAGAATAAGGAATGACATTCTCATACATTATGCAATGTCTAAAATGGGAAGAGAACTTGAGTCCCATAATACGTTGCTAGGAACGGTTCTGAAACTCAGGCTCTAGAGTGTAGCAACGCTGGCTGCTCTGGTGCGCTGTAGCTGCCTGGTGCAGGAAATACGGCTGGCATGAACCTCCCGGGATGCTGCTCTCACGGGTCAGCAGAGAGTGTGGGGGCAGCACAGCAGGAGAAACCAAAGCCCGGAGGTGCTGAGTGGGCTTTTCCCAAGGGCCACCAAACTGACTCGGCTCTGGTGTGTTTTCTGGACCCACCCTAACCAAGCACAGCAGGCAAAGGATGGACGATTCACCATCTCACATGAATGATGGACAAGTTTTATGGCCAAAAAAAAAAAAAGGCAGTCCTCATGGCTTCTTTTTGATGACTGTTGCACAGCAGGTAATAATGTTCAGAATACCTGTTGCCTAGGATGCTCACACCTGCCATTTCCATAAAGCAGGCAGCCCCGAGCTGGACGGTGGTAAAGACAGCAGGAGGGAGATTGCTCCATGCTGTAGTGCCAGTCTGCACTGAGGTGCTTCCCGGGATTGGTGGCCTGGCCCGGGCAGATAATCCCTGGGGACTGGGCGCCAAGCTCTTCCAGCTGGGACCCTTCCCATTCACAGGGAGGGGGAGAGCGGGGAGAGGGCTCCCTGCGCCAAGTTTACCAATCCCGTCTGAGAGGCACACGTGTCTACAAACAGATGAGCCTCTCCTTCATTATCACCTCGGCCGGGCCATGTTCACATCTGAGATTGGATTAAAGAGGTGCTAAAATCAATCAGGCTGGAGCACAATTTCCAACACAGAGTGAAAATCAACCTTATGGGCCCACACTTAGCCAGATGGACTGCCACCACCTGGCTTTATTAAAAATAGAGGACTTGTCACCACTGACAGCCTAAATATTCCACTTTCCTCCTTCCTCTCCCCTTCTCTCCAAAATAGTCTCGTGGCTTACACTGTGATCATCACCTTCTTAGTTTGTAATTTTAATAAATTAGTAATTTTTTTGTATACTTGCTATGTGCTAGACCTGGAGATACAGCAGAGGACCTGAGTAGGGCAGGGAACTAAGATTTATTAGACACTTACTATGTGCATGGTGCTTCTCCGTCCACCACAGTGAATCCTTCCCACACAGGTGTGAGACAGACAGTACTGGGACCATTTAACAGAGGAAGCTAAGACCTAGACAGGTGAGGACATTTGTCCAAGAACACACTGCCAGCAAATGGGGGCACTAGAGTGATTAAAGAAACTGCACTTCATTCAGACTGATGAACTGAAGGTTTGCACAGGGATCTAAAGGTCAGAATTCTATCATTGCCCACTGGCTTCTGTAGACCTGGGTGGTTGCTGGCGGAAACCAGGCAGCAGGAATGCTAAGACTTCTGGAGCTGTCTGGTCTGTAGAACACGGTCTACGTGACAGCAGTTTATATCATTAAGCCATGAAACAGGACACCAGGGGCAAGGTGCCCCATGCTTACTCTGAGAAGAAACTGCTTAATTTAGAGCCGAGGGGACTTAGGCCAGAGTCAGATACGAGGCCACACAGCTAGGGAGCTGCAGAGCTGGGCACTGGAATTCCAGTCCTCTGCCTCCAAGTCCCATCCTCTTTGCACATTGACATTCCAGCAGCAGTGATGGGGCCAGACCACGAAGGCAGGGCCTTCACTAACCCTGGTTCACAAGGGGCCTCTTACCTGCCATCTTGCCTGCTGATCGTGTATCCAAAGAGAGGGTTATTGACGAAACTGATGTTCACACCAACCAGCGGGGTCCCATCTGATGTCATCACTTGACCACGAATGACACACGCATGCCTGTTGGTAGAAAAGAGAACAACATGACCTACTTTTCATGCTAGAACCCTGGCTGGCAGGGAACCCCTGGAGGTCAGAAGACAGAAGGCAGGTCACTCGTATCTCGGCACCCAGGGGCTCATGGTAGCTACTCAAGATGAATACCACCTTCTTTTGTTCATAGCACCTCAGTCTAAGTCATCAAAGCATCCTCTAAAGAATCGTTATTGGGAGATGTTTCCAGCTGTCTCACTTAGAGGCTGTCTTCTAAGAACACTTTATTATGCTGCGAGGTGATAAAGCTGGTCCAAAGGCTACAGGGTACATGCGCATGTGAATTTGGAGTCGCACGACTTGGGTTCAAATCCTAGCTCTGTCACAGTTCTGTAAACTCTCTTTTTCATCTTCACACAGAGTGAGTTCCCTACATGGCAGTGGTGACAACTGTCACTTATAGTCTCATTGCAAGTGGACTTTCAGGAAAGTGAATGGGATGGAGGGCACTTCCTCTCACCCGGCACTGGAGACAGGAGAAGGGCAGATGCTAGTGTCCCCTTGGCGTGGATTCTGGAACCTGCCACCTCTCCCAGTATCCACCCCCAACTCTCCTTCTATATTCCAGGCAACAAGCCATCTGCTTTTCCCAAACTTGCCAGGCAAATGTTGTTTAAAGCCTCTGTGTCTCGGCGATATTCTTCCATCTGCCTCAAATGTCATTTTTGTACCCGTCTCCCAACATTCTCATCCTTTAAGACCCAACTTTAAATGATGCCTCTTTCCTGAAGCCTTTCTTGATGCCCCAAATTAGAATTAGTCATTCTCTCTTCCAAAGGCTGGCACAAAGCCCTTGACACCCTACCACCCTGTACACGTTTCTCCTCTCACTAGCCCGTGAGCTCTTTGAGGGCAGTCAAGGTCTACTGTTTTCCTCTCTAGAGTGCCCGGAAATGCCTAAGAAGTTATTATTTAAACAAACAAACAGAAATGGTGGATTGAGCAAAAAAAGTGAGACAGTCAGAGATCACCTAGAATGATGTTTTTCCAAATATTTCAGAAACACAATCTTTTTAGCAGATGACATTTTATAAGGATGCCAAAGTGGAAAACAAATAAAGACAAGATCTTCTCTGCTTGAAGTAGAGCTGGGGTCCCTTTCCCCACAGGGTGGTTCTGAAGGCAGTTCTGTGGAGTCTTAGTATCTGGAGAAGCCAAAGAAAAGCCAGCTGGAAAATCATTGAGTTAGAGGAAGAATAGGTAGAGGCTGAGTTATTTGCTCCACAAGCCGCACAGGGAGGTGGGGGCAGAGCCAGGCCTTGAGCCTAGGCCTCACACTCTGGGTCCAACCCTAGGCCAGTCTATATACCACTGGCAATGGGTGGAAGTGAAGATGCACACTGGTGTCAACATCCTAAGGGGCCAGAGCGCTGGGGAGACAGTCCTTGTTGACAAGAGAAATCTGAGGCAAAGATGCAGGTGCTGTTGTCCAGACAACTTTCTCTATTCACTTCATATCACAAGGCTTTTTTCCTGGCCTGGGGAAGAGCTACTGATGAGGTCTGTGGGCATTCGTGGAAAAAAAAATCTCTAACTCAGCCTCTGCTTTCTTAGGTACCTACATCTCTACCTTCCTAGAGTGATAAACTTTTCTCTGTTTGATGAGAAAAGCAATTAACACCAGCCTTGTAAGCAGCTGGGCTCACCGGTGTCAGCCTGTCCTTTCTGAAGGCAGGAACAACTACCCACAATGCAACAAGCACCCCACCTTGCCTCACCTCACCACACACAATCCGGTTAACGTTAATTCAGTCAGTGGTTTCCTTCCGAGGCCCTTGGTCTAAATGCAATTACATGGCAAACAAGTTAAGCGGAAGAGGCTCAGCAAAGACTCGCAGTCCTGCTCTGAAGGTCTCCCAATATATTTATGTGAAATTATCTCCCCGCTAATGGGAAAGGTTTATTCCATCAATTGTATTCAGCCGGTACTGAGAGATGCTTTCTTTAATGGAGGAAAATTGAATTTCTTACTGCTGGAACTTTGTCCTTCTAGAGAATTACTAACAGATCTCATCTCCTGGTGCTGGCCAGTCTCCAGCCTCCTCCTGACATGTGTGCCTTCAGATTCTGCCTGAACAATAACCAGCCCTCTGGGGATGGTTTCCTTTGGGGGTTGCCCTAGCTGCTGCCCTCCAAACACACACACGCCAGCCTCCACTGATTCATCTCTCCCCAGGGACTTCCTGATAATTGGGAAACATTAAATCAGCACCATTTGGCCATCATGTCACCTCCGCTTCAGCAAGCCGGAGCAGATGTGATTTTAGCCCAGGCTCCTGTGGATTGCTTTGGATTCTGAAGAAGATTAAGTTGACTCCCTGCACACTTGTGGGCCACAGAGACCTCCTGCCCAAAAAGGCATCTGGCTCAGGAATTAAGTCCTGGAGCAAAGCACTTCCATCCTCCTTCTGTTTGACCATGACTTTCAGTTGTCAAGAAAACCCAGTTTAACATCAAGGCTTCCCTGGAATAAAGGAGGTGAGCAAGTCTGCTCTGCGGAGGCCTCTGAAATGCGTCTCCTGCCATGTGTTTTTGTCCAGGGAAGTCTGAAGAGAGGTCGGTTCTGGGCTCCCAAATGCTTTCTTTCTTCATCCACTTGTTTAATGGATACCACAGCGGTGCACTGGTGAATATTTAACAACTGGCTTTCCAAAAAAAAAAAAGAAAAAAGCAGCTTTAATTCGTACCATTTACCTATTTCTGTGGTGTAAAGACTTCCACCATGGATGATTTCACGCTACCAGTGAGATGTCACTGCACCCAGAGTTGGGAAGAAATGGTCAGTGAGACACCATTATATGATATTATTTCCACCACAGGGATATGATAAATAAACTCAAGAGTAGAGATGATGGGAAGACACAGTGAAATAACTAGGAAGTGATGAGTTTTGATTATTTATTACCTTTGTTTTTAATTTGATTTTATATAATTTAATTTTTAATAGAAGTTGTGTTTAAGAACTAACTTGCAGAATTCTTGAACATTTAATAAAGCAGTTCCTTTAAGCAGGATGAGCCAGCTTCTGTCCACCACTGGAACAGTGACCCTCACACTAAGGGTCAATGCATCTAAGAAAGGGGTGCTGCTTTGACTGTGAAATTCCATGATGGAAGACCGCCTTGGTGAGAAATCACTAACACAGGGTGCAAATCACTGTCACCAACCTGGCTTCCCAGCTGGTTCATAGGATCGTCTCATCACCAGTCCTGTATTTGACATGTTTTGCTTCTCCTTGGTCACTGTCTTGGCAGAATGGGGTGTTGGGGTGTTGTTTTCTACTCATCCTCAGGGTCCCGTCTAAGCTGTCATCACCTCAGGGAGGCTGTCACCAACTCTTCGTGGCAAAATCAATCACCCTTCCCTGGGTTCCTCTAAACCTTCCAAATATCTCTCTCTAATGTGATTGTCATCTAGTGATCTCCTTCACATTTGCATAGCTATCTCGTGTGCTTCCATCTCCAAAACTGGGTGAGCATGGGATCTTGCTCCCTGAATGTTTGCTACGTGAGAAATGATCAAGTAACTGAAACTGAGAGTCAGACTTGCTCAAGGACATATAACAAGGAACCCAATGGGCTGAGCTGACGTTCAAAGCCAGTTCTCCTGACTTCCAAGTCCTTCCTCTTACTACTGTGTTATGTACCTGCAGTCACTAAAATTCACTTAACTTAAAAAATGGGGCACCCACTCTAAGCCAGGCACTGTGTTAAGTGCTGGGGTTACAGAAATACACGAATTACAGTCCCAGTTGCTGGCTGGAGCTCACCAAAGGCAATTTGAAACGCCTGAGTGTAGTTGTCTCTGACACCAATGAGTCAACACATGGGTTTGGCATATGTCAGGCAGCCGGGATAGAAAACAAGCGATTAGGCTGGGCGAACTCTGCCAGGAGGCGTGCTCGTGCCAGGCCAAGGGGGGCGTCAAACATGCTGGCCTTGGTCCAACCAGACACTCAGGGCCTGACTGAGGTGCCCCAGCTGGCGCCAGTGGCGGGGAGGATCCGCCTGACGGCTTCCTGGGGACAGTGGCCAGGTCTGGGATCAAGGGAGGAAACTGATGGAGAGACAAAATCACCGTGAAATAGAACCAAGCAAATAAGAAACTTCACCTCAGCTGCCAGTCGGGGAGAAGTGGATGGAGGGGTGGTGGTAGAAAGAGCCCTGGGCAGGGAGTCAGTTCCCACTTTCGAATCTGGCGGCTACTTGTATGACCTGGGAGAGCCTCCTGACCTCTTTGGACCTTGGCTTGCTCATCTGCCCACACAGGCTTTAAGTTTTCCCCCAATCAGGTGTCAGGTGGAATGTATAATGGTTTCAACCTGGTGCTACTCAATCCAGCAAAGCAGCCCTTCTACGCATGGCTTCAGAATCCAAAGGGAGCTCATGCAATGCCTGTACTGATTTCTGAATCGTTCCCTCTACATGGAACCTTCCATCTGTTCACCTGAAAACCGCCTCAGGATCCACCTGCACTCGCATCCCCTCGGCTGTCTCTGCAAAGACTCTCAGTGCCGTCACACCATCCGGGCAGTCTTTCTCCCCCAGCGGACCATAAGCTCCTTGATGATGGGGACCACACCTCCCTCACTGCTGTACTGCCGACACTGGCATGGGTGATGCTCATTTCTCCGCGGGTGAAAGAAAACCTCTGCCAACACAGGGGTTTGTCCTGGAATTTGAATGCATGGTGCAGAGTGAGCTCTTGAGAAATTGTTTACTGAATGAAAAAACTGGTGGGTTTCTGTAACTGAAAGGGAGGGAGATACCAAAGAACTCTGAGCTACTTGACTTCGACAAGGATATGGCTAGCAAACCGAGGACTGGAGGGACTGGGGCTCTCTAGTTGGTCAGTCCAGGGTGCACCCCAAGGCTCGGTTCATTCCCTTGGAGGACTCACCTGCCTTAGCTGGCAGCCCTCCTACTTTGATTCCATAGCCTTCTCATCTGTTCATTTAAAATTTTCAA